GTAGGCCAGCGGGTGCAATTCGGTCTAGGTAGTGCGCTAGGTTGCTGGCCACGCAGTTGGTGGTGGTCTGGAAAAGTAGCGTGGGGATGTTGTGGCTGCCTTCAGTTGTCTCGGTGTGGTTTGTAGAGTGCGCGGCGCAGTCACATATGCTGCGGTCGCCCCTGCGGGGCTATGTTCGTGTAAGTTGAGGTAGGCGCCATGCGCGCGCGTACGTGGTGCTGCGAGTATTGCTGCCCAGTGTGCAGACGTCAGTGGTGGAGTGCTGAGCTGCCGTGTAGAAGCGTCTAAGTTGTGCTATGTGCCACATGTTGTATCTCGCACGTCGTTCATCTTGCTGTGTCATCAGTGAAGCAGCTGTGTTGGTGTAGTGTGCAATTGTTAATCGCAGCGCCGCGTTTTGTTTCCTGCGGCTGGGGCGTCTCGTCCTACGCTGCGGTGTCGGTCGGCGTCTGGCCCTCCAATAGCTGCCTGCGCCGCAATGCCTGCTCCCATCGTGCCACCATTGAATGATATGGTTGCTGCAACTGCTCCCTGTTTGAATCTGGTCATCCATAGTTCTGTGGAATGCCAGCCCGCAAGATCATTGGTTGCTGTCCCACCCGTTCCTATCTTTATGCAGGTGCAGTGCTGCGTGGTTGGGTCGCTATCCTGGTGTTGGGTGCGTCTCGATTGTTGGGAGAGCCTAGTACGTCGGTGGTGTTCTGTTGTCTTGGAGCGTTGTTGAAGTAGTCGGTGGCGCGACGTTCTCGGGTCGTTGTTTTCGCTGGCGTCTTTCGTTTGTTTGCTGAGTAGCGGCGGGCATGGTTGCTGCGTCGTGTCGTAATATTTTTTGTTGCGGTTGCCGTTGTTCTCCTTTTCCTCGCCCGCGCGCGGTGACGCAAGCTTGTTTGCTGGCATGTTGTCGACCCTCGGCACGCAGTGCCGGCGGCAGCCCAGCGCGCGGAACTGGACGTGAGTGACCAGCCTCTGTCGCGGATGGGAATGCTTCTTGCAGCGTAGGTAAGCGCCCCCGTCCACTTCGCCCGGCACGTCGTCTGCTCGCGGGCTTTTCCTTAAGGCGATTTACTTCCCGATCTTGTAGGGCCTCCGGCGTGCGACCGCACTCGTGGCAGATGCAAGGCGTTGCCTGCGCAAGTGGGCTGGTTTGTTGAGTCGCGCTCTTGAAGCCGATCTGCTGCATTTGCTGCGCCCATAATTCTGCGCAGAATTGGTGGCTGAAGATGATGTGCCCTTTTCGGGCAACGTCGACTTGGGCGTCGCATTGCCCTGGTGCTTCGCGAGCGCGTTGCATCCACCGATCTGGGCCCTGCTGTCGCTACGGGACATCGGGCGCGGTTGCGAGCGTAGCTAGCCAACGTAACTCCGCGTGGACGAGGTCGATCCAAGCGCGCGGTGTTCCCGGTGCGTTAGACGCTTGTCGGCGTTGCTCGTGGCAGGGGCCGATAATCCTGAGTCGCATGCGTGGTCCGTGCGCGGTAGGTTTCGATGGGTGCGTGAACCGTCGTGGCTTGAATCATGTCTGGGAGTCGGTTCTGTGGGCTTTGAATAGTAGCTGCAGGTCGGAAGTCGGCTTGTCGCCTGCGCGCGCGAGTAGTCGTCGTCAGGTCAGCACTGTACCTGGCCCAGCTACGTGCAATTTGAATGCTGACTTGCGCGGTTTGTAGCTGAGTTCGAAGCCGTAGTTGGTTAGCATGGCATGCGCGTCGGAGGCCAGGCCCGCCATGTAATGTCCCAGTGGATCGTTGCCTTTTCACTGCACCATGATGAGCGCGTCGTCGACAACGGCGATGCTAGTGGCATGGCCGCATTGCGGTACGTTGATGGATTGGAATTTGGAGAGAAGGGGACCGTCAGGTGCAGGCAGCCTGGTTGCGCGGGGCTTGCCGCTTAGGTTGCGCGCTAGTTGTTCTAAGCACATTGCAAATCAGAGGTTGCATATGGCATCCGCAAGCTTGTTGCCCGGTCTAATTCCTTTGGCGGGGCGTGCTGCGATGCTGGAGCTTATGCGCGCGAAGTGAGCTGCTCTGCGTGACTCGAATCGCGGGGCTGCTCGGTGCTGACCGCAGCGGCGTCTGTCTAACATCAAGGCTGCGCCATGGTGGCTTCCGCCAGTGGTACGAATGCTGCCGGACAGTCGGTCTTGAAGAAGTAGCTGTCGCGACTGCTTGTGCCCGTTGTTCCAAATGCTGTCTCCCTTACTACTGTGCGGAATGCCGCCGCTGGAAAGATGTAGTATATGATGATCGTTGGTTTGCAGCTTGTGTTGTAGCTGGTGATGAGGGGTGCTGCGTGTGCTGCAGAGGCAATGTACCTCTCTGCTAGACCTCCACACTGCGTGGGCACCAGTGCTTGTTGGAGCAGGGCGGTACGGTTTTGTCCGGGAGAGGTGTAGCGTTGCCTGGGCACCCATGAAGCTAGCAGAATCGATATGCGTTGCGTCGCCTTGTTCGTGGTGCCTTGGTCCTTGCGCAGCGGCATGGCTGCGCCATGTTTCCAACATGGCTCTCGCTGGTCGGGCGATGCTTTGAACAGTAGTGAATGTACGTGCCTGGCTGCGTTGTATTGAGCTGATTTGACTAGATCGGTTGTGATGTTGTCGAATCCTGGCTGCTTGCGCCGCTGGGCGTTTCTGATCATTGCTGTCACTCGTGGCATCATCATGACGTGTTCTAGCGCAGGAAGTGGAATAAGTCTGCTTAGTGTGTTAGTGTAGACTGCGAGCATGTCGTCGTTGTCGGTGCGTCTGGCCACGTCTTGTTGTGTGAAATGGTGGGTGAGCTCGTTTGCTTGTTGCTCGTCGCTCTCGAGTGCGCTCCCTGCTGCGTCTGTAAAGGATGGCATGGTCATTATTTGTTGTTTTGTTTCCTGGTGGTGGGTCCGTAACACAGCGTTGCTTTGGCGCGTTCCCATGCTGGTCTGTGCTCGTTAGGTCGTGGAGGTGCTGGATTTGACTGGGTAATTGTGTGATGTGGTCCGCTCTGTCTTGTTTGACTTGTATTGCTAGTGGTGTTGGGGCTGCCGTGAGGAAGTGCGAATAGCTATGAGTGGGTCAATGAGCTGGTCGTTGTCTGCTGCGCGTTGCGCTGTTGCGCTAACTGAAGCTTATGTGCGTGCTGGTCTGTAGCTCTGCCTGGTATGTATTTGGTGGATTCGCGTTTGTAGCATGATTGCAGGCGTGGCTCTCATGTAGTGTCGTAGTACTGCGGTGGCGTGTCGTCCCAGTCTGGTACGTGTAACTGTACCCTTCGTAATGTAGGGTTGTCGGGGTGTAAACTCGTCGGTCGGAAAGCATTGCTTCGCTGCCGCGTAGAGCATGTCGGTTGTCTGCTTGTGATGGCCAGTTGCTGCTGTGTCCCATGTCGGACGTGTCTGGTTGTCGAGTCGGTTGGCGAATGCTGCTTGTCCTCCTGGGTCCTGCATCCTCGTTGTGTCGTAAGGTGTAGATTGGCTGCTGGTGTTATTGGTAGTGCTACGTGTGTCGTGCAGTGTGGCATGCATTGGGAAGTTGCCTTCGTTGTGTTGCTCCTGAGTCGTGTTGGTGATCATGTGGGGCTCTTGGATGTATGGTGTCCAGTCGTTGGCAATGGCTATGTAGTCGCTGAGATATTTGAACAGCTTGTCGCTGCACTGCTTTGTGTGTGTGCGGTGTGTGTGTGTGTGTGTGTCGATTCGTGTTCGGTCGTTGTGTTGATGCACGCTAGGTCGTATGCTGCCAAGAGTAGTCTTGCGCGTGTTGCATTGTCGTCTTCCTTGGTGCAAGGGTTTGATGGCGGTACGTCGCCTATGCCTGGTGAGGTGGTGGCAGTGAGGTGTGCACTGAAGTCGGCTAGTATGAGTGTGGGTGGCCATTTGGCTGCTAGTGTGTGGAATGCTTCCCACCAGTTGGCTGGGTGCTTGGGGTCGTGTTGGACGTGGGGGGTATGACAACATAACTGGTATCGCAGATGTTTGGCACTCGTAGTTTGATGATGAGTAGTTGATGGGACGCATGTGAGGCACGGAAGTGCGGATATTTCAAGTAGAGCTGCTTGTTAGATGTAGTCGCATGGAGTATTGAGGTGTTCGCGAGGAGACGGCGTCCAAGGTTAGATGGGTTCTGTGGTGTGGTACGTTGTGAGAACGTGTCACCAGTACTGATGTCGCTCAGTGATGTTGTCTTGCACTCCCATGATGTGGGAAATGCGGAGTAGCGCTTGTGCTCGTAGGTGCTGTCCTCTGGTTATGTGCTGAAGTGTTATTTGTCGTAGGTCAGTTCTTCGTTGAATGCGTCTACGTTGGCTCTTTGAGCATTGTATGTCGCTGTCTTGATGTGTAGCTCGGTTGTGTTGGAGTATTCGTTGGTGTGTTGAGGTCGTACGGTCGCTGCTCGCTGGAGTTACGTAGTTGTGAGAGGGTATGTTTGAAGTATGATGTGCGCAGCGTAGTGTAATCCAGATTATTGGATCATCGGGTATCCTCCTCCCCCCTCTGCCCCCCCTTTTCCTCCTCCTCCTCCTCGGCTCCCTCCCCCTCCCCTATCCCCCTCTCCGTCCTCCGTCCTCCGTCCTCCTCCTCTTCTTCCATCTCCTCCACCACCCCTCCTCTTCGCCTACCCATTCCTCTCCTTGCCTCCCCTCCCTACCTCCCTCGCACCGCCTCCCCCTCCCCATCCTCCTCCTGCCTCTACTCCTCCCCCTCCTCTTCCTCCCTCTCGTCCTCCCCCTCCTCCTCCGCCTCCTACGCCTCCTCCTCCCCTCCTCCTCCTCCTCCTCCTCCCACGTCCCCTGCCCCTCCCACTCCCCTCCTTGACCGCCCCGTTCCTGGCGCCTCGCGCCGCCCGCCCTCGCCCCCCGTCCTAATGAACCGCATGCGTGTTGCGCCAGCAGACGACAGTGATGCACTTTACACCACCGCGCCAAAACAAAAGCGCTGCCCCAAAGGTACTGGCAGCAGCATCTTCGCTCTCTCAGAACGACTGCGTGCGAGGTCTCAGCCCGTGGACGTCACAGCGGTGAAAAACTTCATGCACACGCGGGTGCCTCGACCCGCACAGGAGGGGGATATCGCAGAGGCTGAGATCGCAATTGGGTGCACTGGGCACACGTTGATAACCCGTTGTTTGACGGGCAAGGGGGCGTAGGGGCGCAGCAGGAAGCAATACAAAATGAGGGGAAAACACCCGCGTGGTTGAAAAAGAACCCTCGTGACCAGGAGAGCGAAGATCACCCCAGCAAAGCATCGCCATGGCAGCAAGGGTGAAGAGACGGGTTGAGGAGTAGGTGAAGCATGGCGGGGAAGCCCTGACACAAAAGAATGCAGCCGGGACGGAGGTGAGAGCACGGCGGTGTGCACCTCAGCGCCTGATTTGCAAAGGATCGTAGCCGTCCGGACCAAGTGAGCACTGAGGCAAAAGCAGGAGGATGAGGAGGGGGAGGGGGAGGAGGAGGAGGGAGCAGGCGGAGGAGGAAGGGGAGGAGGGAGGAGGAGGAGGGGGAAGGAAGAGAGGAATTGTTGATAGTCGTTTACACGGAAATCGGAAGCGAACGGCCGTCGGGAACGGCGTCCTGGGGCTCCCCGTCGGCCCTCGGAGTCCTCTGCGCGGCCCTCGTGTCACCCCCGTCCAGAGTCCCCCTTGATCGTGAATCGCTGTTAGGGAGAAGCGGCGCCTGCGAGCGTGGCAACGTCGCGAGATCCCGAGCAGAGGACACCATCCCCGCGATCGAGGTGCTCACCCTCGCCTCGCGGGGGCGGTTCGCTGCGCGCCTCGCGGCAAGGAGCAGCGAGGGGGCAAGCGGAGATGGCGCGGCAACGCGAAGGGGGATGGCGGCGAGCACCCGGGGCGAGAGAGGGCCGTTGCTTGTCCGCGGCAGGCCGGGCTCCACAGGCGGCTGATCAAACAGCGGGGCGCATGCGCTGCGAACTGGGGCACAGGAGCGCAAGGCGGCGACCTGGCACGGGGGAAGCGGATCCTGAGGGCAAAAGGGTCCTGGATCCCAGGGCCTTCCCCTTAGGACTACTTTGCTCACCCAAAGACCCGATGTCGTGATTTTCTCCATGCGGGCCCCCCGGAAGGCACGAACCATTCCCGAGGACCGGTTTTTCATCCTTAGTCGTTTTCTGACATTCCTGGGGCCCGGCGAGAGCCCCTCAGAGGCCGAAGGCTGCGCAGAACCTCAGTCTTGATTTGTCCCATGCGTTGGATCTCTGGGCATCCTGCATCATCTTCTGACAACTCCAGGGCCGGTGGAGGGCCTCGGGGGCCCGGAAGCGGCGACAGAACCAAACCTCGGGACCCGCTTTCCCCCCCTGGCGGGGGCGAGGGGCGAGGCGAAGGCCGGCCGCGGGACGGCCGGAGAACCCCGAAGATCTGGGGGGAGGCGCGGGGGGGCGGCGGCAGGCAGAGGGCGGAGGGCGAGGAGGGGAGAGGACATCCAGGACTTCCGCCATCACGTGGTGAGAACCAGGCTGAGCTCAGCACTTCGGAAACAGGCCGCGATCGATCCTGCGCCTGGCCTTTGAGAGTGGCAGAGCGCACGGATCCCCAAGCCCTCTGAGCTGGGCCTGACCGAAAAATCCGCACGTGCCACAGCACCACAACCGAAGGTCTTTATGATATCTAGCGGCGTGTGAGGACTGGACCCAACCCCCAGCCAAGTGTAAACGCCGTCCATTCGGAACGCGAGCTAACTGACTGTTCACATCATGGAATTGGAAGCACTCCCTTTTTACCATTCACACAAGACCGCTTTGGTCGAGGAGCCTTTGCACATACACTACACGCCCTACCACTTTCGGTCAGGGTGTGGGCAGACGCGAAGCGTGCTAGAGCAATAGGCGGAGGGGGACGCGGTGGGGGCCCAGGTGCAGCCCTGGCCCCAACATGCCCCGACATCTGAAAGGCCCGAATGGAATCTAAACCAACTCTGAAGAGCCTCTGCCTGACAAACTTGGCTTTGTGCTCTACCGACAGAACCTGGCGACGGCTGACATGGGGGACCCGCGCTCGCGCGGCGGCCTCCCCAGCAAGGGCGTCCACGGAGGCGCTGCCTAGAATGAACCAGCTCGGAATGCGACGGGCGAGATCTTCGCTGCCGTCAAGGTGCGGCGGCACCTGCAGTATAACAATATTCGCTGGGCGACGATTCTGCCGAACCAGGACTTTGCCGACCTCTTTCCAGAGATCGGCCTGGGGCCCCTCAGGCCTCAAGAGCAGCTCAACATACCACCCCCGCGCGACCTCGGCGCAGTCGGCGATGTAGGTCATCGCACCACTAAGAGAAGCTGAGGGCCCACAGGAAAGCTAAGAGTTCGCCTCTAGGAGCGCTCTGAGCCCTACCATGCAGAGGCCCATGAGGTAGGGTCCTAGCACGAGAGGCTCACTGCTGACAAACGAAGCAACGGCTAAGCCAACCCTACGGAGCCTCGAATCGCGAACGTCGGCTCCGCCCGAGGCATCCCCAAAGATGATGGCAGGGCAATGTGTAGAGCCCGCCCCAAGACAGCCTTCGCGCAAACACCCCCCAAGGAGCTGCCCCCCTTGGAAGGGCTCGGAGGCAGGAGGAGGACGGACAGCCGCCCAGGGGGCACGAATTAGGCCCCTCACCCAAAAACAAGGCAAACCCTCAGCCTCCGCCACAGCCTGCGGTCAAAGATCACACGAGTCGGCATATGCTTTCGAAACGGAGCTGGCGTTAGCCTCGCAGGTCCAACATCTGTGAAGCGGGGCGTCTCGCTTCTTGCCGCATCTCTGACACATGTCTGAATCACAGAACTTGGCCTCGAAAGATCGCTCTCGCGTCCAATAGCCACCTGTGGCAATGCAGGCAAGCAGTTCTGACAGCTCCTGCAACATCACCTGCAAAGAGCCCATGTCAGCTCCCTGCCCTAGGCCGCCTCCGCAAAAAAAGAGAGGCGGCCTCTCTCCACAACTTCAACTGCACGGTGCCTCCAAGCTCGTCCAGGAGCGGGGCCGCCTGGTCCAGCGCCTCGAAGTCACTACTACGGAATTCCCAAGTGTGTGTGTGTGTGTGTGTGTGTGTGTGTGTGTGTGTGTGTGTGTGTGTGTGTGTGTGTGTGTGTGTGTGCGTGTGTGCCATCGCAGAGCCGCCACTCGGCGCGCCCCACGCTACTGGCGACCTCGGCGACCATCCAGCCTTCAGAAGATACAAGATAACTGCTGTCATTTGCCCTCGTACGCGTCGTGAACGTTGACCTTCAGGCAGACGGGAACGATGACCCAGCGCCGTGGGCCACGCTCTCATAATCGAAGGTCGAAGGTGAGAGCCAGAAAACCAAACACTCAGGCACTGGGTGACGCACTGACGTGGCAACTGAGTGCCAGGGTCACACCCAGGAAGCCCGATGGCCAGCAGCGTCGTCAAACAGCGAACCCGCCGCGCCGAGCCTGCAGCCGCTCCGAGGCGCCTCCTCCGCGCTTGCATGGCCGCGCCAAACGTGCCGTGCACGCGGCGCCTGTAGACGGCGGCGGCCTGCGGCCCTGCTCGCTGGAGCATGGCCGCGACCGCCCAACGCCTCGCCGCCTTAGCGAAGCGCCGCAGGCGCCCGTGCGCCTAGCCCGACTTGAGCGCGCGCCGCCTCACCGCGGCGCGCCCGTGGCGCCGCCCGCAAGACGTGCCCGCCCCGAGGTGGGCCGTCTGCAGGACTGCCCGCAGCGCGACGCCCTCCCACTTCAGCGCGCGCTGCACCACCCGAGCGCCGGCGCTGCGGGAGCACAGCGCCGCGCTCTTGTCGGCGATGGCCAGATGGAGCTTGGGGAACAGCCTGATGGCTGACAGCGCACCCTTGATGAGCGCGGCGCGGACATGCTGCCTCAAGCCCGCAACCCTCTGCGACAGATCGTCGATCAAGATGCGATCGCTCTAAGAACCGTGGGCCTCGCACAACCTCTGACACACGTGCGCCGTCAAACATTTGGCGACGCGCGCGCCGCTGCGCAGGCCCTGCGCTACAGAACGCGCGACTTGAAAAGTTTCGCTGGGCGAGTTCAGCTGCTCGAGAACGCGCGGGGCCAGACAAATTTGAAGCTCCAAAAATAGAACGACTGCTGGGAACACCTTGTTCGCAGCGCACACAGCGCGAGGGGCCCCCATTCGATGGAATCGCAACGCGAGGCCATGCCTATTACCGTCTGACCATGCGGGATGCCAAGCCTGGGGCGCACCTCATCCTGGAGCGCTCTCACGAAGGCTTCGCGCCAGGCACTGTTGCCCGCGATGGCCGCGCCCCAGTGGTCAGTGGACGCCTGCGCGTCGGACCACTCCTTCATCTGGAATTCTCTGGCCATGGATCAGACTCGACGCGGCATGGCGATCGAGCCGATGACGCCATCGCCACCGGCCTTCCTGCCAAGCAGCTTGCCGACCACACACTGGACTTGCCGCGGCCGCGACAAGCCCCCCTCGACCACGCTGAAAAGGTCGCGCAAAGACTGGGCGCCCTCGTCGGGCAAGCGCTCGAAGTCCGCCGGAGAGAGCCCGCCGATCCCGAGGCCTGCCCTTGCCTTCGCGCGCCTCGGTGCTGCTCTGACGTCTGCGACGCTGAGCGGCGCCAGCTGCTCCACTTCAGCACATCGCCTGGTGGGGCGCATGGTCTCTAGCGCGCTAGACCACGTCGTGCACTTGAGGCCCCGCAACTTGTGATACCGAACGACTTTCCGATCGACAATGTCCACGGGGTGGACCAAAATTCGCCCGTCGTCGTCGCGGTACTCGCCCCTCTCGGGGCCCGCGTCCTGCAGCGATCTGAAAACTCGACCCTGGGAGTCCAGACTGCTGAACCAGTCCTGAAATTCACGCAGAGAGGCGACCGCTGCCCGGCTGGTGGGCGCGCCTGGATGCTTTGAAAGTCCTCTCCTCCAGCGCCTCCAACTCATCCACCGACATGTCCATGGGCGCGACGAAGGCTCCGTAGCAACTCCTCCCATGAACCAAGAAAAAACACGACACGACGCACCTGCTCCGTTAACGGGCTGATCCGCCAGTCGCGAAGCAGCTGGGGATAGGCAATTCAGTTGAACGCT